ATAATGAAGCTTCATATTTGTTCTATACATAATAAATAAACATAACTCAATTATTGCTTCTTAATTATTCTTGAAAAAAACTTCGATTTAATTTTTTTTAACACGTGTCTTTATTTCTGGCGATGACGCAATCTGCGCGTATCTGATAGATTCGAGATCACGTGACGGAAAACAATCCCTTCTTTTGACTTCACCGTATGCCAAGGGTTTATGAGGAGAGTAGCGTATCAGAAACCCTTGGCTAGCGAAGATGATTGTTCTTCAGTGCAGTTATCCCTTACCACATCCCCATATTCTACTACTGGTCGAACAAATGATAGGTATATTTTTATTAAGGAGTCTCTCTTTAATTTATATTTTAGTGTGCGCAGTATGTTTAGTCTTAGGCAAGCTCTTTCATAAATTGTTGCTATATGTTCTAACCAACCCCCATTAGACTGAAGTGTCAGTCCAAGGTGACAATAACTTCGCAACTAGGTTAAGGGCTACCTAAAGGTAGAACAGTGTATGCAGAGCCTCGGGAATTCGATTACGACGTCACGGTGAAATTGTACAAATGAATCTCGGCGAATAAATAATAATTTTCTTTTTCATATACTCTTACATACTTTGATTTCTCATGATTATTGTAAATATCAATCAATTTGTAACTTATCATGTCAGTATAACACTAATCGAATGTAAAATCAAAGCCAACTTAATCTCGCTGTACTAACAGATATGACGTCATATGCTAGTTTGACACGCAGTTTCTCTGTACTTGAGACGCAGATAAAGCTATTAGTGGAACTGAAAATATGAAAATTAAATCTATATTATAAGAGTGATCTGACTACAATTGATTCATATTTTTGAATGCATTAATCAATAGTTCACAGTCTTATTTAATTGATAACTATTAGGTCTCTTATAAAGCCGCAGTCATGCACTTTTATATAGAAACGTACTACAATCATATGTACAACCCCTCCAAAATCTCAAAAGTTCAACGATATCCCGCTTGATTATAAATAATAATATTTTATACACATGTAGATACTGTCCCTACTATTTTGAAAAGTGCTTGGAGCAAGTTGTGCGCTGTCTATTTTGTCCGTAGTTTTACATTTCTTCAATGCGTATAGTGTAAATGTACATACTTTATTAAAAGTCGGCTAAATTTTATATAATTCCCGGGCAGTGAGAAGTTGCTCCCAGCACTTTTCGGGTTAAGAAATTTGTCTTAAATAAAACACAATCAATTTGATTGTGAAAAATTATCCGTATATCGTTGAACTTTTATGATCTTTGTATCCGTGCATATTTTTCTAATTTTAAACATGTCACGTGACAAACAGCTGATGTACATGAAGTCGCGTTGGCCGAACTCGGTTGAGACCCCATACATACAAATGCATTAGTATAGTTCCCATTAAATTAAAACAAATGCTAATTAAAAAAAAAATATTGACATTATATTGATTTTTTCGGAATATTTAAAGGCTTATTTCCTATGGGCGGCCCTAACCTAGCTGCGTTTGATTTTGGGAAATTATATTCATTGTGTTTCCAAATGTAATATTTGGATGTACTCGTTGAGTTCTAGTAAAATTGACATTAATAGTTTTATTAGGGTTGAATTCAACTAGCCATTGATGGGACCACTGCCTTATTTTTTCAAGGTCTGCAGTAAGAGATAATGCTGGGTTATCTATGTCAGTATCAACAATAACAAACAAAGATGTGTCATCTTCAAACAGTCGTATTTGATTTTGTATTTTATCAGTAATATCATTAATATAGATAAGAAAAAGAAATGGTCCTAGAACTGAGCCTTGTGGAACTCCAGCATTGATACTCTGCAATCCTCAGAAGTATCCCTCTAACACTACCTTCTGAACTCTATCACAAAGCTTATACTCAATCTAACATAAGATTTTACCTTTGAAACCATATTTTTGCAGTTTAAACAAAAGGCCTTTATGCCATAGTTTGCTTTATCAAAAGCTTTATATATGTCACAAAAGACAAACCTAACATCTTTGCCTTGATCTAGATTAGATATGATTGTTTTGTAAATTTCAACAAGTTGATTAACAGTGGAGTCACCGGGTTGGAATCGTGACTGGTTCTTAGAGAGGAGATTGTTATAATTCATATAGTTGTAGAGATTTTTAAATATAATTTTTTCCATAATTTTACATAAACTACTAAGTAAGTGATATTGGTCTATAATTTGCTTGATCTTCTGGGCTCCCTTTATTTCTGAATACAGGTGTTATATCTGATTGCTTCCAGATACTTAGTATATGGAATTTTGGGGTTTTCAGTGACAGATTGAATAATTTAGCCAGTGGTCTACTGATTGCAGGAATTATATTTCTTAGTACTTGGGGTGCAATTCCATCAGGACCGGGAGGCTTTGTTATATTCAAATTTTCAAGTTGATCAATAACATCCTCAGTTGAAATACTAATTGAATCAATAGAAAAAGGAGGACCGGGTCCTTGAGGGGGCAATTTGGGTTCTCTACAATGTTCAATATGAGAAATTTCAGCAAAATGTTTATTAAGTTGAGTAGCCTTGACATTTTACCATTACAATTTAGTCTTGGGGGTATTTTATTTTTATTAGCAAATTTGGTTAATGATTTAACACTTCTCCACCATTTACCAGGAGGAATAGTTTTATCTAAAATTTGTGATGTAATTTTTAAGCGGTTAGCTTCGCTAGCCGCTATATGGCATGTGTCGGCAACCGGAAACCTCCATAAGGCGCTACCTATCGACAACAGAAACTTCAACAAAGCCTCTACCAATGATTTGTTTCTAACACATATAACATATGTTAAATAAAATCAAGACTATCAAAACAACATAATCTTTCGGTTTTTAATTTTTATCTGATTTTGTTTGTCAATGAAATAAATTTATTGTTGTATTTTAAAATTTTATGTATAGGAGCATTTAGTGTCGAGATTAAATTTCCTTGACGTCAGCTGATGGCGATCGGGCCCTGTGACGAAATTTGAAGTCAGCATGAAGTTTAGCTGATAACATTATCAACGCGTTGGATTTAAACTTAAGGAAGAAATATGTAGCGAGAAATATCATATTCGAACCCAATGCTACACGAAAACCAGTAGGCATATCCGATTTATGTGTTAAATTGAAGCCTGAATTGAACAGGGGGTCAAAATGGCGTTGCACACCTTGTGTATCTAAACTGTACATAGAGGGGTAGAATGTTTCGATATTTGGCTAATTTAGAGACTTACTGATAAAAATTCAGGTGCCTGTGATTAATTATAAGGCACCCCTTCATGAACAATAAATATTTGATCGAATTATGCTACTGGCACAGAAAGGACGGGTTAATTACTGGCTTAAGGGGTTGAAGGTTATTACAGACTGCAAAACATCGGAGAATCTCTCGATCAAGTTTCATTTTCCTTGCCAAAATATTTAGCCATCCCTTTAATTAACTTAAGTAATACTAGTACGTGAAGAAAGCTTTATATATAAAAAAAACTGAATACATCTGCAGGGTTCTCCATGCATCATTTGAAATTTTACTGTGTTGCAGAGTTTACGTGAAGCACTAAATATTCGCGCTATTTTCGAGATCAAATTCGCAACTGAATTACTTTTCATTAAACTTAAATAAGAATATATGCGCACACTTTTTAAAATAAATCACTATTTCGATATACAAATATTTTCGGCATACATATTGATAAAAGTAAAAACACGTGCTATGAAAGCAGGGGGAATTCTGTTCGATACAATCAAACTAATTACCACTTTTGAAAGTAAATTTGTTTTACTTTTTTGTCATTTTTGTTTTATCAAATTACCGAATTGCAAAGGAAAAAATAGGGAAAGTTCAGGACAGGATGATATTCTTACGAGTTCCTTAAAAATGTGTTGCATGCATAAAATTTTAATCGTTACTGTGTCGTAGAAAATTTTGCTGTGTCGGGAGCAACACAGTAAAACAGCTCATGGAGAACCTTGCATCTGTAAGCTGTACAGTTATAGATTACTTCCATAATGAAACGTTTGTTTTCTTCTCCTTTTTTCTCAATTGAAATTATTTAAAAGATGATGAAAGCTTTGTTTCCAGGGACTTCTGTACTCAGTCTAATCATTACAAACGATTATAAACGTCACATTATTTAAATATTTGCCAAATACTCAGTATATGTTCGTTTATATATATCGTGCTTACAAGACTCTTTTTTGAATTATTGTCATGTACCATTTACTAATTCGAACATTTATTGTATTTAAAGTCAATAGTGTACATTTCTTAAAACTTTTATTATCTTGTTTACTTGTCTTTCTTTCTGTGAGAGAAATAGTTCATAATATTAATAAACAGATGTACTCAGTATCTGTATCAAAATACAGAATGAATAGTGATCGGTCTCAAATGAAAAACGGATCCTTGAAAGTTCCGGTGCCTAGGAGAAGTAAGCATCCCCAATAATAGGTCACACCTGCTGACCCGCAGTGAGCATACGAAACTGAAGCCCTCTGAAATTAAATTAATTTACAAAATCTCTGCTCGTCCATCCGTTTTTCTTAGACTAGCCAGCTAAAGATCTATGTACAGAACTCCAAATAAATTAATCTTAAGAATTTAAATTATCATTACCGTCTTCCTTGGAAGACGGTATTGTATAGTTGAAGTTTTTTTTACAGTCGTCGGACTATGCACTTCCTCTCTTTTGTGATTGGTAGAAATTGCATGATGAGAAAATTTTCAATTATTTCATTGGTTGAAACGCTGTTCAAGGCAAGGAAGATAACTTTCTGATGATATATTTTTCGTACAATTCCAATCTTAAAAAAATGACAAAACGAACAACAAAATCAGCAGTAGTTAATTATTATTATTATTAAAATTTGTTAAAGCGCTCAATTTTACATATAGTATGCAATCAATGGCGCTGTACATACAATAGCATATATACATATGATACAAAACAATCCATATGTTAAAATATCAAATAAAGTCTAAATGTTCACTAACTGTTTAAATAAAATATACTAGTGTTCACAATTAAATGTTATTTAAAAGCACAGGTGTAGTAGAACGCCTTGAGATGTCGTTTAAAAATATAGTAATCAGTTAACATTCGAACGTTCGTTGGCAACTCATTCCAAATCGAAGGTCCAGCTACCGCGAAAGACCTAGAGGCAAAAGTTTTGCGTCTTACGGACGGGACGTTCAATGTTTTCGCTGCAGGATTTACGGATCGAATGCCATATGATGATGTTCGTAAACTGAGCATATCTTTAAGATACTGTGGGCTGTCGCTGTCGTTAATGCACTTGAAGACAATGCATGCAAGTTTGAATTTAATGCGGTAGTGTACCGGTAGCCAGTGTAGTCGTTTGAGTGCTTCAGTAGAACTATCCGTAGACCTCAGCTTCAACACAAGCTTTGCAGCACGATTTTGCAACAACTGTAGTCTTTTAATGGTACACTCTGGCAATCCATACAAGACACTATTTGCATAATCTAAATGGCTAGTGACAAGGGACTGTACAATTTGTTTACACGAATCATCACTAAGATATTGGCGAATTTGTTTAATGAAGAACAAATTCAATGAAACTGTTTTGCATTTTTCACTGACAAATTTTTGAAAGTTAAATTTTCGTCCAGATAACATCCAAGATATTTGATACAAGGAGATGAATTAACAACCGTATCCACTACATTAAGGGAAATGGAAGATGATAGAGATAACATTTGTTGACTGCCAAATACATGTAGTACAAATTCAGTTTTACTAGGGTTAAGTTTTAGTTTGTTCAGATTCATCCAGTCATTGATGGTAACCAACGCTTTTTCTAAATTTGTTGTTACACGTTTCTCATCAGCGAAACTCTTCGGATTAAAACTGTCGTATGCAGAGTGGTCATCTGCGTAACCTAATAATGACACACCCGAATCTTTGATGTAATGTTGAAGCGTACTCGCGTACACGGTATATAACACAGGTCCGCATATGCTGCCTTGCGGTACCGAGAAATTCAGAAATCTAGGCTGTGATTTAGACGCGTTGATATGCACTTCGGCTTTCCTGAACGAAAGGTATGATTGAAACCAATGAAGAGCCACTTCAGATACTCCGAAAGTAGTTTCTAACACGTTGCTAAGTATGGCATGGTCGACTGTGTCGAAAGCAGCAGAGAGATCCAATGCGACTAAGGCAGTAACTTCCTGTTTTTCCATTTTCCACAGAATGTCTGATGACAGTTTCAGGAGAGCTGTTTGGGTACTGAACCCTCTTCTATATGCACTTTGATAGCTAGGTAGTAATCTGTTTGATTCCAGATATTTCATAAATTGGTTCAGAGCACATTTTTCCACAATTTTTGATATATAACTTAAATTACTTACAGGACGGTAGTTTTTCAAAATCACATCTAAACCGCTTTTTTTCAACAGGGGTCGAACTATAGCAGTTTTCCATTCATTAGCGAATAAACCAGATGTTAGTGATTTATTAACTATGAAAACAATTGTTGGCAATATCACATCAGAAAATTGTTTTATTAATTTTGACGGGATTGGGTCAGTTGGGCAGGTAGTGGGCTTAGAACTTTTAATCACACGTAAAACATACTCATCTGAAACAGGATGAAAGGTATTAAACTCTTGTGTGCATTTAAGTCCGAAGTTTGGGTCAAATTTTTCAAAATCGTCTAAACTTTTGCGAATGGCTAAAATTTTATCCATGAAGAAGGAACTGAATTCCTCCGCCAGTGATGCATCGCTGGCGTTAGGCGGCATAGGATTGCAGTTTTTTCTGCCAATCAATCCAAATATTAATTTATACATTTTTGAAGAATCATTTCCACATTCGGCTATGTTTGAGTTAATATGCTGATACCTATTGTATCTGAGATTTTTCCTGTAGGCTCGTTTAGTACATCGGAAGGCGTGGTCATTATCCGGGGTCTTGTTTCCTCTCCATTTTCGTTCCGCTGACCTGCAACGTGTTTTAAGGAGACGCGATTCTTTTGTAAACCATGGTAGGGAAGGTCGAATGGTAACAATTTTCTCTTTTTCCGGAGCGTGTTTATCTAAAATATTTCTGAGTTCTGAATTGTAAAACTTTGCTGTATCTTCTAAATTTTCATATTTGATGGCACTTTCGTTGAATTGGATTAGATCTGCCTGAAATTGCGTTTCATCTATGTCCTTTAGTTTTCTAACTTTTCTGATTTCCCGTGTTATCTTTGGCTTAGGAAGAGATACATATGTATGAATGAAACAGTGGTCACTTATCTGAAAATTTTCGGTCGGTTCGGACAACACTATTTTGTCGTTGTTTCGGATCATGATCAGATCAAGTATGTTTCCAGATCGATGCGTTTGGCAGTTGACAAGTTGCACTAAACCCATGTCATCGCACATTTCATTTAGAGCGATCGTGTCTAAGTCATTAGTTTTATTATAATGAATGTTAAAGTCTCCTGTAATTATAACCGTGCGATGGGTTGATAATATTTCTTCAAGAAAGGGTGTAAATTCGTCAAAGAATTTTGCCGTAGATACTGGATGGGCTTTCGAGTATGGGGGACGATATACAACCAAAATATGTATAGTCGTGGAATTAAAAACTAGTTCAATCAAAGAGTGTTCGAATGAATCTTTTTGACAAGAGTCAATTACTTTGATTTGAAGTGTGTCTCTAAATAGAATTCCAGTTCCGCCACCAGATCGGGATTTTCGGGGTACATCAATAAAAGTATATCCAGTTATATTTAGATCGGATCTCACAATTCTGTGTTTCGGATTACTATCGTTTAACCAAGTTTCAGTAACACAACAAATATCTAGTTTGTTTTCTATAATGTGATGAATGAATTCTTCGACTTTATTACATATTGATTGCGTGTTCACAACCGCGAATGAGAGATTTCTGTCTATTGAGTAATCAATTAGCCTTCTGTTAAGAGGTCTTAACAAATCTAAATGAACTCCCTTATTCCAGTCTTTTTGTTTCGGTTTCCTTCGTCTTGATCTGTGACCACGGTAGCGCCGTTTAATTCCAAATAGTTTTATTTTATGCATTACATTTTCATTAAGCCTGAGAGACGACATGGTATTGTTATACCTGAGCGACTTTAACTCGGCAGGGGTGTACACAATAGGAGTCACGGTCAGCACTTTGCATGATTTCAACTCACCCTGGTTCACCGACAAAAGTTTGAATATAAATCCATAAAATATGCACAAGAATGCTAAAATATCCGCAAACGAACAAGTGAATCTTGTTCTTGAAGTCTTTACCATCATGCTGATATAAAAATCCACAGAATTGCACACAGAATAACACAAAAATAATTGATAATATCAGAGAGCAAAAATGTGCGGCCATTCACGCGGCGCACTAGTACCCAGTAATTAATTTTTAATAACATAGCGTTTTTACTGTTTTATAGTGATAAAAGTGTTTTATAGCGATAAATAAAAAGGTCTCTTTAATTTCATTATAAATAAAATTTGATAGTTATTGCTTGCAGGCTTTACAATTTGTTATTATTCTTTTCCCCTTTCTTGTTTGAAGAGTGAATGGGAATCAGCCGAGGTTTGTCGAAAGCTCTCGGCCAGTCAACGTTTACGGAGATGACCGAGCGACAACCGTGGTAGGGCTAATGCCCGTAAAAAGCTTATTTAGAAATACAAAATCAAGAAATTCAAAAGAAGTATAGATCTGTTTACTATTAAAAATTGTTGCTAAAGACAGTAAGCTTTTTTGAAAAGCTCTACTTGTTTTATTTTCTTTTTGAGTAGGCTTTACAGTTACCTAATTTCAGAGTCAATAGAGCATGAAAGACAATTAAATTTGCAACATCAACATATTTTTTTTTCGTTCTGAGCACATTTGGACGCCACCAATGGAGACAATAAGGAAGAAATTTTTGAAATTGAACTTCCTGTCTTTCAAACTGAAAATCTCAGGTTGATATTTTGAAACATACATTTGTGACATCAGTCTGGGATGTTATTGGTTTTTCAATTTAGTTAAGTACTACAAAAGTCAGTGTGTCTGCTTCTTTGCTGATGACATCGGACAAAAATATGCATGCTTACTTTAATATCATCACTGAATGCATTTTTTGTTAGTCTACACTGTACAATCAAATTCCATGAAAGCATGCTAACCGCTTTTCAGTACTTTCAGTACTTTGATTTGTTTGTAAGTATTATTTGCCTGGCGTACCATTGTTATAACTTCATTTCTTATATTCCGATATTTACTCCACTGATAATCACTATCTGGTTTTTTTTTTGCCTTACGATGTACCCTATTTCTTTGTCGCATTTTACGTCTAATAGCATTTGTCATAAAAGGTTTATCGGATGGTCGGATTACAACAATTTTTGGGGGTATATTTTTGTCTACATGGTAATAATAAATTCTAGTAAAATTATTGTAAACTTCATTAAATTTCACTATTGAAAACTTTTTATCCCAATCCACTTCTGAGAGATTTTTGTTGAGTGATTTATGGAGTTTTATGAAGAGACTTACTTTTACATTCGACAGCTGACTTTTAAATTTTTGTATATGGAGTAAGTCTGTGTTTCAATTGTAAAAGTAAGTCTCCTCATAAAACTCCTATAGTCATTTTTCTTCCCCAAATGATATTAAACAGCTTAAGATATCGTATTTAAAAATTAGTAAAATCTGAAGGTTAGTTTGTGGTTAATTTGTTGACCCCCAGCCTCCATAAATACTTTTTTTTTCAATTTTCCATGTTTATGTGTATCTTAATGTGAAGTACTGCCGACTCGTTGTTAGACAGTAGTCAATCAATCAATCAGTGTGAAGTGCATTAGATTGTCTACATTAAACTGTACTACTTATCATAATACAGATAAAGGTATTGTATTGCATTACTAGTAATTGACTATAAATAATTTAATTAAGACGGATTATTTTATTAACATATTAAATAATCTCATTTAATTGACGAAAAAAGTATAGTGCGATTTGATTGTATGCTTATACTAAGTTCAAGTTAATTGGTTGCAACATTCCTTGGTACGACCTATCTAATATCACACAACTTCCGTGTCCGCTGTTTAAAAAAATCACAGTAACCTGCACAACAAAATTTTTTGTAAATTTGAGAAGTATCGGCTGCCATCCGAGGTACTACGGAAATTATGCCACTGGTACGAACTCCCACGGATACGAGAGGGAGAAAGGAGTACACACGGAGCTTCATAACGCCTTCCAGGGGCAGGGGATGGAAACGAAGGAAGAAGGGCGAAAGGACAGGACCACATGGCGATCACACGCAACATGGCGTCGACCAAATTCCCACACCAGCGGGGGCCATCGTCAATGTGGCCAGTCAGAGCCAGCCTCATGGAGACGAATTGGTCGGGATAACTACAAATCAGGAAATTGTTGAGTCTGAGATTCTAATGCCACCCACTGAAAATTTTGTTGGACCGAATTTTAGTATTCAAGAATATCAACCAATTTTGAACACTTGCGCCTTTGACCCGTTTACCCCGTTTCCCAGTGATTGCACCTGGTTGTTAGTACTTTACCATGTACTCCAGGACTAAGCCTCCCCTCCTGTGTGAAGAGGTGGAGTGGGCACCAAGACTGTCCAACTTGAGTGACCCCAATCTTTGACACACTTTTCCAAAACACATACGTACATATGTAAAAATTTGCTTTTTACAAACCGCCCTCTGTCTTAGATGACAGATGGGGGGAAACCCTAAGGCCAGATAATTTGAAAACTTCCCACTTATATCCCCCAGACCCGCCACAGACATCGATATGATGTTCCTTCATACCCTATGCACCAAAAATACCCATGTTTTTTTCATTAATTATTTTATTATAAGCACACCCGACATAAGGTTATTTAACATCACTTGATTGCCCTCATCAGAGAGGTGTGTCCCAAAATAGACCTATGTTGTTGACTGATATGATATCATGTAATATAACACCCCCCCCCCCCCATTCAGTAATGAACATGTTGACCTGCTTGTTTATTGTCCTGTGTTTTTATCAATCTTATGGCCACTTTTTAATGGTGCACCATGCCAATATAAGCGATGATCAAAGGGGACCCCCAACCCGTTGTAAGGAGACTTCTTTGTTTATCTTTTCTTGTGCAATATTTGTTTGTTTGTGAATAATTTTTAGATTGTTTGCCTCCCTATAATCTCTGGGGCCCTGGTACTGCAATTTGAAACCCAGATTGACACCATTTAACATAACTGTTTTTTTCTTTATAATAAATTAATGTAGGGAGTGTAGTGAGACAATATGTTAACATTAATAGGAGTTTTCCCCAGTGTACAAGTTGATGATACAAGGCTAGAATTGTTTAGTGCTCTCGCAAATGGATGCTGCATGTCTCCCATCACACAAGTTGCATGCATGGTTGAACCTACAATTTGGGTAAAACCTGCATGATTTACCAGCATTATAGAAATGACAATATTGGGTAGCATTAGCACTAGATGATGAACGGTTTTGTTGGGCTGAAATTATGTGATTTGTGTGATTGACTTTGCCTTGAAGGTTAACCCTATCTTGAGCCTGAGTTAGACTGTTGTTCGTGATATACAACAGCCACAATTCGCTGTTTATTTGGCCCTAGGAAGACTGGGGGTTAGACACTTTGAGTAGGCGAAACTGTTCATCATACTTGAACCAACCTGTAGATTGGGATTCTGCAATTCTTACATACCGCATGTATTTTAATATTCTTGGGACCTTGTTCTATACTTTTCCAGCATAATACTAGTAAATATAATGAATGCAGATGTCCATTCTTCAATAGATAGGAAAGTGTTTGATTTTTGCTTGACAAGGCACATAGTGCCGTTGCGTATTTGAATCTGACCTTGTGTATTTTCGTGGTCGACCAGTTCCCTGGCGGATTTTAAGAGGAGGGACAAATTTATGAATTGTCCCTCCCAATTCATAAGGGAGCTATGAATAAACAGTATTATTCATTTCAATATTGCACACTTGAAATCATTCAAACGAACATATTTAAGGGGTAGTATATATTAAAACTTTTTCCAGTTTCGGTGGTATATGTGTACCTGGGCATTTTAGGCGTTTTGCATAATGGACTGAGCCCGACATTGTTTTATCGATCTGACCTTACAATACCTACAAATACATCATTGTTTCATATTATTTTAAAGTAAAAAAGTAATTTGTTAGTATACAAATATAGAGTTACTAAAGCTATCTAATACGGTTAAAATGCAAAAAGCATTCTAGATTCCTTTCAAGAGTCTCCGCCTAGTGCATTAATATGTAGACACAATGACAGACTATACATAACAGTGCGACATTTAACTCCGGACACGACATAGTCCGGACTTTTTACTACCATTTCCAATTG